CAAGTGCCTTCCCCAGCAGTCATGGCAGAGTTCGAAAGAGGGCTCAGGCCTTGGTAGGGTTTGGGGCCCCATGTACCCCATTAGGATGCCCCTGACCAAGCTGGTGCCCCCTGCTGGGACCAGGCACTGTCCAGTGGTGACAGCAAGGCATGTGCCCAAGTTTCAGGTGGACTGCTGCTTCCTTCCCCGGGGTGGGGCCTTCTGCCCTCAGGCTGACCTGGCCAGCAGCCTGGGAAGTGGGGCCTGTGGGCAGAGGAACTCCAGCCTTTCCTGTCACCATTCCCCGGCAGCCAAAAGCCTTTGTGATGTGGATCAGACACCATCCCCGCTGCTGGAGACGCCCTCCTCTGTCTCTCACCAGAGCCGGGCCTCCCACACCTTTGTCCCCTGCAGGCCGCCTGCACAAATGTCCTATCCACCTGCACAAATGTCCTGTCCACCTGCACAGCTATCTATTGGAAGGTTTTCCTTAAGTGAAAGTTAAACAGACTAACACTCTTCACTCGGCCTTGTCCCCAGCAAGACTACCAGGGAGATGCTCGGTCTGGCGTTGGAGTTCTATTTCTCAGAAGATACATTAGGATAAATACGTGATTACTCAAACAAAGACATGCCACCCCCTTATCACCCTGGGTTCCGCACTTTGGGAACTCCCAGCCTCCAGGGCAACATGTGTGGAATGTTTACCCTGGGTCAGATGTTAATCCCCACAGCTGTCTCACAAGGTGGGTAAGATGAGCGATTCTCATTTTCACACAGGAGGATACGGAGGCAGGCGGAGATTAGGTGAAATGCGGAGGCCTCACCCCTCGGAGGCGGCAAAGAGGGGGTGGAATCCATGCTACTGGACACCTGCATGCAATGCTCCCTGTGACACGTGCTACTGCTCTGAGACTCTGCCCTGGTCCCAGCATGTCTGCCTGCCTTGTCCACCTGCTATACACCCTGCACATCCTGCCGCGGGCCACGAATGCCTGAAACATTCCTCCATCACTTCACCATCTGGCCTCTGCCACCTCCAACTCATCCCACAGTCGCAGCTGAGTCCTGTCCAGGAAGCCCTCCCAGATCTCCAGGCCACATTGGGGCTCCCATGCTGTTCCCCTAAGTCTCTGGGTTCTTCCTCTCAGGGACACCCCAGCCTCTGGGTCTTTCCTTGTTTGTGTGATGATTTACCCAATGTCTCTCCCATGAGGGCAGGATCCCTAGAGCCTAGGAAGGCTCTGGCTCAAAGAAGGTGCTCAGTTTCTCTCTGTGGAATGAGGGGTCCCCTGTGGCACAGAGGCAGGGAGAACTGGGCGAGGAGAGGGCACCATGTGGTGAGCTGGGGTGGGTCTTGACTGGGCTGCAATGGGCCCCAGGGCAAGTTGGACCTTGGTCTGCTCATCTGTGAAGTGGGAGCAGCCCTCCCTGCCTGACTGCAATCTCAGAGAGCTGGTGGAGGACAGAGGGGATGTCAAACCCTGTGCCCTAGGGCAGTGTTTGGCAAACCGCGGCTCTTTGGCCCATGCGCAGAAGTCGGTATTTTGTGGAAGAGCCACACTCTAGGGGCCAAAGAGCCACATGTGGCTCTCGAGCCGTGTTTTGCCGAGTCTCAGTTTGCCGACCACTGCCCTAGGGCACAGCAGCAGCAACTCAGACTCACTATGAAGTGCCTACCACGTGCAGCCAAGCACAGGTGCTCTTAGGAGAATCAGGACATTATCTCATGGAATCTCCACCACCAGCCCATGCAGTGGGGTCTGGAGTCCCCCATGGTGGCAGAGGGCACTTTGTCACTTGCCCAAGGTCAGTGGGCTGGAGTCTGACAGGCTGGAGTTTGAACCTAGCCCCTCTGAATGCCTGCTGCAGCCACCCTTCCACGCCAGGATGGCTGGCCACACTCACCAGCTGCCCGCTGACTGTGGCTGAGAGCACATCAGGGCTCTGGGCCCGGAGCTTCCCGGCCACTACCATCTCGGAGCCCTTGAAGAACAGCGGGAAGTTGTCCTGCGTGACCTCCTCCACGGCATTGCCTGGGTACTCGAAGGTCACTGTGGTCAGCAGGGGGTTGGCCACCTCCTGGTAGAAGTCCTGCAGAGTGGGGTGTGTCACGGGGGCAGGCCAGTTCGTCCCTGACTCACCCAGCCCTCAGGGGTAGGCTGGCACCTGCAGCTGCAGGGCGGAGTCCGAGTCCTCGTAGATGCGCCGAGCCAGGCCACCGTTGTCCAGCGCCAGCTTCTCCAGGAAGGCGTAGCTGACGTCGAAGCCAAAGCCCAGGCAGAAGAGGCTGTACTGACCGCCTATGGCCTCCTGCACATTCCTCTGGATCTTTGTGGGGTTGGTCTCGCCTGGACCCAGTGTTTGGGGACAAGGGTGAGAAAACAGGGATTTGCTCAGGGGATATTTTTGGAATCTCAGAGCCAGAGAGGCCTCAGGGACCCCCTCCCTTCCCCAGGTCCCACAGCAAGCCAGGATGGAGCCCCAGCGATGCCCTCTGGGCAGTGTGCCCTGGAGTTGCTGCTGTGCCCTCACCCACAGTGGGGTCGCCATCAGTGAGGAGGAGGAGGAGGGAGACGCTCCCTGAGGGCAGCTGCTCCTCCCGGGTGGCTTTGTCCAGCAGCTGCACAGCCAACAGCATTGCATCGTTGATATTGGTTCCTGAGGGGCACACAATCTCAGGATGGCTCTCAGGTGGAGCTCGTGCCCGGATGCCCCCACCCTGCAGGGCTGCCCTGGCGCTCACCTCCCTGGGCCTGGATGCTGTTAGCATATTTCTTGGCCTCCTCCACGTTCTGGGTCGAAGCTGGCACCAGCGATGGCTTCCACTGGCTTGCTTTATTGCTGAAGCTAATGAGGTTGAAGTGGTCTTCGGGCCTGAGGTCCTCTAGGATCTTGATGAGGGCTTCCCGAGTCTGGTCAGGGGAAGGGGAAACAAGGTGTGTGTCTCAGTGGGACCTCCTTGGGGGTTCATGTGCCCTTGGGCTGCACCCCCAGGCCCACACCTGCAGTGGGAACATGGTGAATGCTCCAGGGGCAGGACCAGCTCCATCCTGGGTATCTGGCAGCCTCCTACCCAAGAAGATGGAGGAGGGAGGGTCTGCCTGCTAGACCAGAGCTGACGGTATGAGGCATCTGAGAGTTTTTAGGGCCCTACCCTGGCCTGTGGTACCCACCTGCTGGATTTTCTTGCCCATCATGGAGCCACTCGTGTCGATGACGAAGATCACATTCTTGGGTATCGTGGAGAGGCCCTCGGGGGCAAAGTAGTGCACAAAGTAGCCATTCTCGATCTATGACCAGAGTGAGACACACCCCAGGTGAGATTAGAGCTACAGCGCTGCCCTGCCCCAACCCACCTCCTTACCCCAAACCCCCAGGTCCCCATCCTCTCCTCCTTTTAAGCTCCTCTGTCACAGTCCCACTGATAACCTCCCCAAATCCTCGTCATATTTTTTTTATCATTGTTGTTGAAAGTATTACATATGTCCCCCTTTTTTCCCCATTGACCTCTTCTAGTCTGCCACCCCCTCCAGTCCTTCACCACCCTATTGTCTGTGTCCATGGGTTTGTATATATGCATACAAGTCTTTTGGTTGATCTCTTCCCACTCACCCAGTGTAGCTACTCTTTTGCTGAAACATTCCCTGCTATGCATGACCCACTAGAACTCTACTCCACTTTGCTCCCTATTTGTTTGAATATCTGAGGCGGTTTAGAGGTAATAAACCTTATTTAGCAGATGAAACTTTCTGCCTCTGAAAGGGAGTTCTTTCAGGGACAGCATAACTAAACCGCGTGATTTCTGTCTGTTGCCTTCGTTGCACACTGACTGGCAGGAGCAGTTTTTTTGCCTTTTCTTTGGCAACAGCCAGGCTCAGGCTCCTGAGGACGGATGGATTTCCTGGTTATTCTGCTCTCCCCTGGAGCCCACGCACCTGAATGGAGCCTCCAGAGAGGGTGCGGTTCACATCATAGCGGATGATGAAGTCGCCATCCACGACTGTGTCCTGTTGCTCTGCAGACTTCTGTTGCTGGGAGACCGTCGGCTTGAATCGGATGTGAGCCTGGAGGAACGACCGACTGGGCTGATGTCGGGGAGCAGCGAGGCCTCGCTCACACCCCTCACCCCACCTGAGAATCACCTGGGATGAGAACTCCCCCATAGGTTAAATCCCAGGGAACTTTCTCTGAGGCTGGGCTGTCAGGTGGACGGCCTCAGTACAGTGGATAGGTGTGAGCAAGGAGCCTCTGCTCCGGAGCCATGTGAGCAGAGCCTGGGGAGCCTCCAGAGAGGGTGCGGTTCACATCATAGCGGATGATGAAGTCGCCATCCACGACTGTGTCCTGTTGCTCTGCAGACTTCTGTTGCTGGGAGAGCGTTGGCTTGAATCGGATGTGAGCCTGGAGGAATGACCGAGTGGGCTGATGTCGGGGAGCAGCGAGGCCACACTCACACCCCTCACCCCACCTGAGAATCACCCGGGATGAGAACTCCCCCGTAGGTCAAATCCCAGGGAACTTTCTCTGAGGCTGGGCTGTCAGGTGGACGGCCTCAGTACAGTGGATAGGTGTGAGCAAGGAGCCTCTGCTCCGGAGCCATGTGAGCAGAGCCTGGGCTCAGGATGTGTATGATCCAGCCTCCTCCTTTCCCCCTGGTCCTGGGACCCTAATGTCAGTGTCCTTTCCCAGTCGCCCCCTAACCACAGGTTCAAATCAGCACCCGCCATCTTCCTCTAGGCCTTGCCCTCCTCATCTGCCTCATGTCAGCGCGGACACAGAGACCTCAGTAGTCAGCCAGCCGAGAGATTCTGCCCAATTGTCCCACTCTCTGGGACCCAGGCTCACAGGGCAGCGGGAAGACAGGCCCCTCGGTACCCTCCCCTCCTACCCGCTGTGGCAGGCCCACCTTGGTCTGGTTCTGTGAAACGGTGAGGGCATCTGCAAGCTCATTGGTCATGAAGGTGCTCTCTGTCTCCAGAAAGCTGATGCCCTGAGGCTCAAAGATGTGAATGTCCATCTAGAAGAAGAAGGGGGTCACTGGGTTAGCCAGGAGCCAGGGCTGGGCCTCACAGGAGGCTGAGGGGACAGGGGGGCCACCCTCGGCTGCACAGGGGTCACCCAGGAGGCCTCCTTAGAGGAGGCAGTTCCAGGTACCTGCAGGTGCTTGACCAGCTGATGGGGCTGCACCTTCAGCAGCAGCTCATACACTCCCAGGCGCCGCTTGAGCAACTCCTCGTACACCAGCTCGAAGGTGACCTTGGCAGCGGGGGCCACACTGACCGACACCTGGAACTGCTCCATCTTTCTCCCAGTGGCCCTGGGGGAGGAGGGCATCAGGCCTGCCCCTCCAGGCCAGGTAGGGTATGGACACTGGAGGCAGGAGCAGAACTACAGGCAGGGGCGACTTCTGCCCAACCCCCACTGGGGTCTCCCACACCCCCTTGGGCTCACTTGACGAGGCCAGCGCTCTCCCCTCTGGCCACGGCCGCACTGTACTGCTTCTGGGCTGCATCCTTCTGCTTGATGTTCCCTGGGTACGTCACACCGTCGATGATCCTGGGGCAGGAGGGTGGGTGCTGTCAAGAGTCTGGTGGTGGGGAGGCTCTCTCCAATCCCACCTCCTCCAGGGAGCCTCTCA